TAATAATAATAATAATAATAGTATAACAAAATGTACTACAAGTGTTCTGATAATAAAATAGAGTGTGTAAAGTGCATCTTAATAATTTTAAATATATGTTAGATGAATTTCAATGGTGAAACAAAGCATATTAGCCGCATATTAATTAATAATAAAACAGTGTATTATTAGATATATCCCAATTTCAAAACAAATAAAACAAAACACAAACAAAACAAGTAGGTTAACTACATCGTATTGAAACAAAAAAACAACAAAACAACAGATGTTAGCTGTATCCTGATGATGAAACAAAGTTCATTACTGATTAGGTCAAAAGGAGCATTTATATAATATAATATTATGTATCTTATTAAGTGTCTGCAACATAGAGTGAATGAATTCAGAGTATTGGGTGGGGGGGGGAGAACAGTTATGTGGAACAGATAAAACATACATGCAAGGGTAACGATTAACGATTAATTAATTAACTAGGCTGTGAAGTAAGAGAAATCTTTCATGCATTATCCTAAATAATAAATTACATGCATTAGATGTTACAGAAGTGTCTTACATAGTTCATGGTAAAAGCATGCAGAGACTGAAAGAAAATTATTTGAAAGAAAAAGAAGAAGGAAAAAAGAAACCTGGATCTCCTGAAACAGAATAAAGTCGTTTCAGGAGAAAAGTTAAGCAACATAGAACAATCAAAATGGAATCTAGAGCATAGCAGAACTATAGCAAAAAGAATTTGAAAAAATTAAAAATTACATATTATAAAAAAATTATAACACGACAAACATTAGTTTTTTAGTCGCTATAATATTATCTTCAACTTCAAGTTTGAAAATCAAATAATTGAATCTATGGTATAAATCGAGCAAACACCTAAAATGGTCTGGCCTACACATAGATATTTTTCTTTACGTACAACATTTCTCTCTTTAATACAACATTAACAAAAGTTGCACACCATTTGATCATGCTTTTCACACGAAATATGAAATTACAGAACACAGAACATGTCTCTATGAAAACAAAACAAAACAAACAGAAACAAAAACAACATGTGCCACGTATTAATGACGATATCACCACCACCACCACCAACAACAACAATAAAAATAACAACAACCACAACAACAACAGGAGCAACCCCTACAACAACAACAATAACAATATAAACAACAAAAATAGCAACAATGACAACAGCAAAAACAAGAACAACAGCAACCACAACCACAATAACAATAACAATAAAAAACAACAACCACAACAACAACAATAACAATAAAAAACAACAACAGTAGCCACAACAACAACAACAACAATAAAAAACAACAACAGTAACCACAACAACAACAACAACAACAATAACAATAAAAACAACAACAGCAACCACAACAACAACAACAAGAACAACAACAACAGCAGCAACAACTCCTACTTCCCTCTACAACTAGACCATCACTAGCATTTTAAATATATTTTAAAAACCCAACAACTTGTTAAAGCAAGAAGGTAAGCAAAAAAAAAAAAAAAAAAAAAGCAGCAGCAAAAAGTGAGCATCTATGATCAAGGACTACAACTGCTACACTAGCTCATTAGTGACGAAAAAGAAGTCCCGATCTCAGAGTTATGTCGTCAGAGGAGTTCATGAAATTCTGAGTCTAATTGCGTCATGGTTCGAAACTTCCACTCCCTCTAGCCCTTATAACAGAGTGAAATTGTGGAATGGTTGGTATAGGTTTAACGACCCCCATCAACACTATTAGGTTATTTAAGAGGCGGGGCTTCAGAGTTTAACGTCCATCTCCGAAAGGACCGAGCCAAATGGGAAATTCCCGTAAAGTGCTTTTCCAAGGGCACAACGACGGACCGAGCTGAGGCTTGAACCCCCCGAACCCGCAACCTCACGATTACAGGTCCGATAGCCTAACCACTAGACCTTACAGTGGGTATATTAACACGGAAAACAAATTTTAAAAGAAATAAGATGAATAGAATTAAAATAATAAATGAATTTATTTTTTTAAAAGCCCAATAAAAAACAAGAAGCAAACCAAAAACTGAGAAATAAACCTGTCCTTAAAATTTGTTAAAATGAATTCAACGGGTGAAGCAAATTATGAGAGTACTTGCTGTGGTTTACTCTTTCTTTCCTATCAAACATCTATCGTCCTTATCTTTCGTATTTCTTTTCTTTGTTACTCTCTAGTGGTAGATATACCTGTAATCTTCGGCATTTATATGACCTATGTGTGTAGCAAGTGACGTAAAACGTTTACTAGAACAAAAACTCTCAAGCAACACCTCTGATTTTCGTCACCTATACTTATAATCTATTTGAGTAGCGAGAGCCGTAAAACTCCTACAAAATCTAAACTAAAGAATTGAGAAAAAAAGACATAAATATTAACAAAATAAACGAATAAGCAATTTGCATTGCAAGTGCCGTAACACTCTTTTAAACTAAACTAAAAAAAAACAACTGACCGACAACAACGAGCAAACAACCCTCCCCATCCCCCCCCCCAAAAAAAAAAAAATAATAAAAAAATAACAAAAAAATGTACATATATAAACGAAACGAGAATAATATTTCTGAGATGATTGTGAAGGGTCAAAAACTCACGAGATACCGCCAGGGTGATGACGTCACTAGAAACCACTCCGCGAGCGTTCTCAGCCACACAGCGGTACGCGCCAGGGTCCGAGCTCGAATCCAGACCGTTGATTGTGAGCGCATATAGTGCCAGGGTCCCGCCCGAGTACTTGTTGGGCGGGCTGGCCAGGTTGAGCCGGGCGCCGTCTTTGGTCCAGTAGAAGCTGGTCAGGGCCGGCACGGCGCTGACGTCACAGGGCAAGGTCACGAATTCGCCGCTCCTTCCGGTGACGCTAGTGGTGCTGGTGTTCAGTGTGGGGCGGTCTGTGGGTTGTGTGGTTATGTGTGTGTGTGGG